GAGTTCTGATTTCTTTCTCCTATTTCCTGCTCCTTTTTACTTTTAAGAGTCCTCAGATAGCTACTCCATGCAGTATTCCAGGTTTTTGGTTACATTCAGAGAGAGAGACAGAATGGAGTGTAATTACACCATCTTATCTGGAACCAGAACTAGCCTACATTAAATTTAATGAACTATACATTCTAATTAAAAGGCAGAACTTAGCAGAATGGTTAAAAAAAAAAAAGACCCAACCATATGCTTTTTACAAGAAATGTAATTTAAATGTAAAGACAAAGATAGTTTGAAAGCAAGTGGATAGGTAAATATATATCATATAAACAGTAAGCAGAAGAAGGCTGGGCTAAAATTTACTTCGTGACAAAGAATATTACCAGTGAGAAATAATGTTTCATAAAAGGAAAAGGGCCAATTAACCAGAAAGATATAATAATTATAAATGTGCATGCACCTGATAACAGAGCTTCAAAATACATGAAGCAAAAACTGACAGAATTAAAGGGAGAAACAGACAATTCCATAAACATGATTGGAGATTTTCACACTCCTCTCTCAGTAATATATACAATAAGAAATAAAAATCAGTACAGACATAGATGATCACAATAACCATCTTAACCTAATTGACCTAACTGTTACTTCTAAAACACTATATCTAACAACTACAAAATGTATATTTTGTACACCAAGATAGACCATATGCTAGGCCATAAAACAAGACTCAATAAATTTTAAAGGACTAAAATCAAACAGAGTATGTTCTCTGAGTTCAATGGAATTAAATTAGAAATCAATAACAATAAGATGTCTAGGAAACCCCCAGATATTTGGAAATTAATAACACTTCTAAATAATCCATGGGTCAGAAAAGAAATCATAAGGAAAATTCTAAAATATTTCAAACTGAATAATAATAAAAGATATAGAATAAAGTTCCCAAAATATCATCAAGTAAAAAGTGAATTAAAAGAGTATATACAGTATTGATCTATTTTTATTTAAAAAAAAATAAGCTGTGTATGTATACATAGAAAAATGGCTACAAGATGTATACAAATACCAAATTATAATGTTGTACAACTGAAATATATGTAATGTTGTATACCAATTTTACCACAATAAAAAAAATGGCTACAAAAAAGATGTGCTAACAATGACACATTTCACTTTTGCAATTAAAAAAATTTAAATGTTGAGTGAGTCCTGAGTGCTTGTTATGAGTGAATTTTTTTCATTTTTGCCTATCTGCATTTTCCAAATGGTTGACTTTAAACATTTCTTACTTTTGTTTCGGTGACTGTATTTTTCATTTTTAGAATTTCTGTGCATTTTAGAATTTTCAAATTCATATTTTTTCATAATCTCCTACTCTGTGAATTTCATTCCTTCCTTTATTTTATTTTTAACTTTTTATTATAGAAAATTTCAAATATATAAAAATTTAGAAAAATTGTACAATGAACCCTCATATATTCATCATTGCCTCAACAGTTATCAAGTCTCTCACCAAATTACTTTGCAGCAAATCCCAGTCACATCATTTTATCTATATGTCAGTATGTAGCTATAAAAGAGAAACTTTCTATAAACATAACCAAAATACAATGATCACATCTGAATTTTTTTTTTTTTTTTTTTTTTTTTTTGCTGAGGAAGATTCACTCTGAGCTAACACCTGTTGCCAATCTTCCTATTTTCGCTTGAGGAAGATTTGCCCTGAGCTAACATCTGTGCCCATCTTCCTCTATTTTGTATGTGGGTTGCCCCCACAGCATGGCCACCAACAAGTAGTGTAGGTCTGCACCTGGGAACCAAACCCAGGCCACTGAAGCAGACCATGCCAAACTTAACCACTAGACCACCAGGCCAGCCCTTGAATTTTTAAAAAATAATTCCTTAATATTATCAAATAACTTTGAAAATTTTAATTGTACTGTTTTAAAGCTCTTTCACTTAGCTCTAATTGTCCCGTGGATGTGAATTTCCTATATTTATTGGGTCTATGAATTGTTTCTCTCAGTACTGAATTTTCTCATGTGTTTATAATTTTTTCCTGTGAAACCATCATTAAAGGGAATTATCTTCTAAGAGAGTCCTTGCAGGCCATGGGTAATGGAGGCCTCCATAGGAGTGGTTGCTAAAATACGTACATCCTCTTTACCCGAATCTAAACTGTTCAGGAAGACACTGAAAAGCAGGAACCTACAGTCCATTATTTTAAGTGGGAAAAATAATGTATTCCTAGCCCATAGTTAAAAACTCAGTCAATTTCTCAAAATATTACTATAACACTTTTATTTTTTTTATGTTTTTTTTTAGTTTTATTTATTTATTTTTTTCCCCCAAAGCCCCAGTAAATAGTTGTACATCATAGTTGCACATCCTTCTAGTTGCTGTATGTGGGATGCGGCCTCAGCATGGCCAGAGAAACGGCACGTCGGTGCGCACCCGGGATCCGAACCCGGGCCACCAGCAGCGGAGCACGTGCACTTAACCACTAAGCCACAGGGCCGGCCCAACTATAACACTTTTAAAACCTATAAAATAATCTACCAAGAACTTCTGCATAATAGAAAACATGTAAAACACTAATACCTATTTATTTAAGTCTCAGTGAAATTATAGTAGTGGTGCTTATGTGCAGTTCATAATAATAATGTATGTTATTGGGTAAGAATTTTATTTCTCCTCTATACTACAAAAAAACACTTACTATAATGTAAATAGGACTTCTGCTTCCAAACATCAAGGAACAACAGGGCCCAGAATAACCTTCCTACTGTAAACAAATAAAAAACTGGACAAAATATATAAAACTGTTTTTGTATATTAGTCAACAGGTAGAGTAGGATTATAATCCCTGAGAGAAAGGAATCAAACAAGGTAAGGCCTACCATCATGTTAGCTCCAGGTGCTCAGCGTTATTGGAGGGAATTTCCAGACCACAGTGCAGGGACGGGGAACCCAGATATAGCCCAAAGATCACTCTAAGTTGAGGAAACATATTGAAGTTCAAGGAGGCCAGCGTGGCTAGAATTTGCAGAGCAGTGCACCAAAGGGGAAGGAGCTACCTAAAGAAAAAGTTCTAGAAGTCTGTATAGTGGTTCCCTTGAACCTTTGGCTGAATACCAGTTTGCATATACACAGGATGAAACTCTACAAGGCCAAACAAAGAACAAATTTTGAGGAAAGAGCAATTACCAGGAACTATGAGTTAAAAAAATTTCATAAAGCTAACACTGGGCCAGGAATCTTTTGAGTTCCCACCAGCTGGAGTAAGGAGATCTCATTTAACACACAGCGTATTCAGTGGAGATCCCAGAAGGATCACGTCTGTCAGTAGGGGGACTAAACTAGCCCTAGAATAAAAGCTACTCTAGAGATACTCTAGAAAAGCTTAAAAACAGGCCTAAAAGAGATGAAAGTGTCCCATAAGTAACTTAACTAAAGATAAAACAAAGTCCAACACTCTTTAAAGGAATAAAACAAAATCCAGCACTCAATAAATAAAATCCACAATGTCCGCCAACCATCAAAAATTACTAGACATGTGAACAAGCAGGAAAATGTGACCTAAAACCAGAAGGAAATTAAATCAGCAGAAATAGATCCAGAAATTACAGAGATAATGGAGTTTGCAGACAATGATGCTAAAACAGCTGTTATAAATATGCTGAATATGCTCAAAGATTTTAAAAAAAAACATGAAGGTAATGAATAGAGAAATAGGAAATATACAAAAAGAACCAAATGGAACATGTAGAGATGAAAAGTACAATATCTAAAATGAAAATATCACTAGATGAGATTAACATCAGATTAGATAATGCAGAAGAGATCAGTGAACTTGAGAACATAACAGTAGAAAACATCCATAGTAAATGTAGAAACTACATCCTTTAATCTGAATGTCCATGTAACTTAAATGTTTTCCATGGCAGTTACATGTAGATTCATTATAGCAGATTTCCCATTTGAATGGGAAATTTGATTAAAATCTGAATATTTCATATCAAATATTCACATAGTGGGTATAGAGATACAGGTATGCTGGGATCCTGTGTGATTTACTGGTTCCAAACCAGTGTGTGTTTTTCAGCACAGCACAGGTAGCCTCAGCTGAGCCTACAAAATACAGGTAGCTCAGACTTCAATCTCTCACAAGAGACCATACTGAGCCATAGCCTGGGAAGCAGACAGCTCAATTCCAGGCTAGGATTCAGGGCAGGGAGCAGAGTAGCATTTTTCGGACTTGTAATCCAGGTAAGGAGTCCAGTTCCTGCTCCCCAAATGGGTCTTTCAACCTAGACACTTAACATTCTCATGGATGTTAAAACTAGCCTCTATGGCTTATATCTAGTCCAGAATCCCCGCTCTGACACAGAGAGGAGGAAGACTGCATGCAGAGGAGATACCTCAAATTTTGCTAATACTTATGGGTCCTCTCTTCATTTTGGGTACCTGGTGATTTTCTCTTCTTGTGTTTGAACCTAGCTATATATGTCTTTAATGTTTAAATATTTTAGTCAACATTTCTAGAGTTTTGAAGTGGAAACAGGGAATTCTTTATCTGCTCAGTTTGTCTTCTCAACTAGTTCCAGATACAACTTTGGTAATAAGAAAATAACCAATGAGAGTACTATAAAAAGATAAATGAAAGAAGCAGCAGCAGTAGTCAAAGAAGCATATCTCCACGTTCTAATGAACTCTGAGAAGAAAAGTAATCCCAATTTGGTTTTAAGAATATTAGCAAGAACTGAAAAAAGGGTCTGAGGATTGTGAATCTGAAGTTGTCCTTTAGAAAGAATCATTATCCTCTCACAATTATACAGCACGTCACTCATCTCAAAAAACAGCTTACAATATCACAATGTTTTCTGTTTTAATAAAATTATATCTTTACTAAGAATAATTCCTCAAAAAACAGATTTTTATCATACCTACATATATCTACACAAAATATAATTTTTCATTCTGATATTATTTAAATGACAAATTACCTTTGTGTTTATTCAGAAGCTTGTAGCCTTCACAATATCTGCCTGGTGAAATCATCATAGTGTCTGTGTCAAGATAAGAGTATGTCGCAGCAAAATCAAACTCCTTTTTACCATCCCACCAATGTTTCTGCTTAGCATAGTTCCTCATGTCTGGGTGTTCCCGATCAATCTTGGTTGTTATAGAAAGCTGATTAGAAATATTACGAACTCCCTCTATTTTCAAAGAAGAAGAAGGGAAGGGAGAAGAAGTCATATTTAACATAATGTATCGATCTATACATTATGATTCTTAATCACTATTTAAATATAACTATAGACTTCAAAATTTTGTACCATGTAAATCTACTACATACTCAAAAAGCTAAATGAATTACTTTTTCAAATTAAACTTTTTATTTTGAGATAATTTTAGATTTACATGCAGTTGTAAGAAGTAACAGAGAGATCCTATGTACGCTGTACTCAGTTTCCCCCAATGGTAACATCTTGTATAATACCACAACCAAAACATTGGTATGGATACAGGCAAGATATAGAATATTTCCATCACCACAAGGATCACTCATGTTACCCTTTTATAGCCACACCCACTTATCTCCACCTCCATCCCCTCATTAACCCGAGGCAACCAGTAGTATGTTATCCATTTCCATAATTGTCATTTCAAGAATGTGATATAAACGGAATCATACAGTATATAACCTTTTGGCTTTTTTTACTCAGTATAATTTTCTAAAGATTCATCCAGATTATTGTATGTATCAACAGTTCATTCCTTTTTATTGCTGAGAAGTATTCCATGATATGGATGTACTACAGTTTGTTTAACCATTCACAAGTTAAAGGACACCTGAGTTGTTTCCAGTTTTTGTCTATCATGGAAAAAGCTGCTATAAATATTCATGTATAGGTTTTTGTGTGAATGTAAGTTTTTATTTCTCTGGGATAAATGCACCAGATTGCAATTGCTGGGAAGTTGCATGTTTACTTTTTTAAAAAACTGCCAAACTGTTATCTAGAGTGGCTGTGATCACTAGAGTGATCCAGTCTCCAGGTTCTCACCAGAATTTGGTGGTGTCATTTTTTATTTTAGCCATTCTGATAAAGATAGAGTAATATCCTATTGTGGTTTTAGTTTGCATTTCCCTAATGGCTAATGATGCTGAACATCATTTCATGTGCTTTTTTGACATCTGTATATCACTTTAGGTGAAATATCTCTTCATGTCTTTTGCCCATTTTTCTTTTCTCTCTCTTTTTTTTTTTGTGTGTGAGGAAGATCAGCCCTGAGCTAACATCCATGCCAATCCTCCTCTTTTTGCTGAGGAAGACCAGCCCTGAGCTAACATCTATTGCCAATCCTCTTTTTTTTCCCCTTTTTCTCCCCAAAGCCCCAGTAGATAGTTGTATGTCACAGTTGCACATCCTGCTAGTTGCTGTATGTGCAACCACGGCGCCTCAGCATGGTCGGACAAGCAGTGCATCGGTGCGGGCCCGGGATCCGAACCCGGGCCACCAGTAGCGGAGCGCATGAGCTTTAACCGCTAAGCCACGGGGCCAGCCCCTGCCCATTTTTCTAATCAGATTTTTTTTTTACTGTTGAGTTTTGAGAGTTCTTTATATATTCTAGATATTCATCTTTTGTGTGAATTACTTTTTAAAAAATAGTCATAAGTAAGTTTAGAACAGAAATATAAGGCTTCCAAAAATATCATGGCACTAAGTTATAAGCAAAATTTTCAACTAAAATAAAAAATAGAAGAAACAATAAAAGCTTGTGCTAAAGAGATCATAATAAATGAAATAGATCACAATAAATGAAAATTGATAATGTTTTAAAACAGATTTAGAATGACAGTCTGCCAAGTAGAAATCAATTAAATTACTCTATTGAAGTCATACTTGGGATGACTCACTACAAAAACTAGATTTAAGTCATGATGGAATCAAAGACAGAGAAAAGGAATTTTCCATCTAATAGATAATACCCTACTATTTACTTTAGCTATTGAGTTCTTGGGCCCATTTAGTAACAGTAAGAGAAATCAGTTGGCAAAATTAATCTACAATTAGATAATTAGACCCAATGAAGGTGTTCATTTTGGATGGCTAGGTGGGGCTATCTTTTTCAACAGAATACATTTATTCATATCTCTTTTGCATATAGTACACTTAAGAAAATTAAAAGTGCTTAATGTACAATCAGGCCAATTATCAGAATAAGAAAAATAGTCTAAATTAAATTTTACATATTAACAAACGTACAGGCAAAATATAAAATAGAACGTCCTTCAAAACAACTGGCAATGACCTATTGTGAAAAATAACATCCAAATCCTCCAAAGCTCAAAGCTACCTTCATGAAGCCTTTCTCAACTCCTCCAGCTCACAATGACTTTTCCTTTCTCTAAATGTTCACAGCATCTATGTATCTGTATCGCTCGTGCACCATTTAATATTTTCACATGTGTATCTTATCTCCCTAGTAAGAGAAACTAGGAGACCCAGGTAGTACATAAGAGTTAAGTACATAAGAATTACGTGATCATGTTTGAGCACAAGGCTGTACTCTAGTAAAAGACACTGAACAGAGAGTCAGGATGGAAAGATTTAAATTCTAAGTCTTTCACTCACTGCCTTGAGTAATCAATTCACATCTCTGGATTTCCTCACTTGAAAAATAAGAGGAATATATTATCACAACGAAACTATGAAAAAAAAGCAAAGCCTTCTAAAACAATCAAATTGTGTTATTTTACTGAATTATATCAAACTTTTATGTTTTACTATTATATCAATATATTCTTTCCAACTACTAATCCACAGACACCCGTCCCCAACACCATGCCTCTTTCCTCACCGCCATACCTACACATGATAAAATTTTGGAGTTCAGCCCAAAGTTAAAAGAAGAAGAAATGGTAAGGAGTTGTTAAAAAGTGAAAAACTACCATAAAGCAACTGTATAAAAAGAGCTGTAAATATATATACACACACACAGGTTATATGAAATTCACATTCATATATATGTAAAAGAGATAACACCACCTTTTTCTTTTTTTCAAGAAAGATTTTATAGTGCTTTCACTGTATGTTCTTTCAAATTTTTTAATTTTCCCTGCAATTCAACCCTCCATCGCACTGATTATAAATCTTGAAAGACAATTACATGCAATGTCTGCAATTTAGGGGGTATTTTATTAATTGTAAAACAAATTAAATCATGAAAAGTTGTCCATACCTTTTACTTTTTCTGCTGCCCAGTACTTCCCTGCAGTCTCCAGAACCCAGGCTTCATTCCTATCAGCTATCAGGAAACTGTTGTGATAGCTAAATACCATCCTACCCTCTGAACAATTTCCACCCTGGCCATATTTTTCTAATAAATCAACAATGACATTGAGGGCTTTTTCAGCTGTATCAGCTCTTTCAAGGCCAAGCCTAAAATAAAAACATTAAAGTCCTCAGATTAAAATAAATTTCCATTATTTTTCTTAAATAATTTCATGCACATGAGATTTTGTATTTATATCCAAAGTAAAAATTCTTTCAAATTAACTTAACTGAAATCCAACTTCTCAACTATTCCTTCTGAAATCAGTTTGGAATCATGAAAACAAAGTTTTTTGAGTCAAACAGATCAATGTTCAAATTCCAACTTGGTAATTTATTGGCAAGTTACTTCATCTCTGAACCTCAGGTATCTCATCTGTAAATTGAGGATAAAAATATCTACCCCAAGAGGTTATTGTGAGAATTACAGTGTGATAGAGTATGTTAGGTATTTCCAATAAATAATAATTTGCAACTCCTTCCTTTCTCCCAATTAATGATATTTGAGACTCTTGAAATTGCATGCTTGTATTCTGAAGCATTTTTTACACAAACTATAAAGTATCAAAGTCCAAAAGATGAAAAAATAGAAAAATAAAACATGTAAGCATAACACCGAAATTTAAAATTTAGACAAGTTCTATAGTGCAAAAATATAACAGAAAAATAACCTGACAAGGTCCATGCCCAATAGTGCCTCTTCATTACAAACTTCTTCTCTTCCCCATACAGCTTCATTCCCAATACAAACTCCATGCTCATTGGCTCCCATTTCTGCCCCCCATAACCAAGCTGGGCGACTAAGGACAACAGCATATGTTTCACGAACTTGATCAATTTCTATGTAAGTACACTGTAAAAAAAAAAAGTCATAGCAACAACCATAAAACCAAAAAGGAAAAGTTATCAAAATTCAGATTCTTAAAAATCAATCAGAAGACCTGACCATTATGAAAGAGATACGTGAAATATAACTAAATTGAAATTTTCAATAACGAAGGCATTACCCTTAAAACATATTCAGATTGACCCTAAAGCATTTATTCATTCAAATATTTGCTGAGCATCTCCTATTATAAAGCATTCTGTTAAGAGATATGTTAGTTACAAAGATAAATCATATACAGAACTTGCTTTCAAGAAACTTAGATTTGTACATTAACTAAGATACAACAAAATATAAAGTATAAGGGCCACGAAGAGAAGTGAAGATGAGGTGCTAATGGAAGCTCAGGAGAAAGATGGTTTCTAGTTGTAAAATCGTGAAACATTTTGTAGAGGAAGACGTATGTGAGTTGAAGCTTAAGGAAGCAATTCTCAATCTCAATGTCCAGTGTTTCTTGGTTAGTGACATAAGTCCCACATATACCCTACAAGGGTATTGTCATAGAAGCCCATGTCACATATAGAAGTCACCCATCTGATATCTCCCCAGCAGTGAAAAGAATGAGAACCATTGGTTTACAGGATAGTCTAGATTTAAATATGAAGAGATAAAGTGGAAATGGATCCAAGATGTATAAATAGTCTCAGCAAAAGAAAAAAAAATTGTCTGGTATCAGAACACATCTAATATTTAATAATGGACTATCAATAAAATGAAATCTAAAACATATATAACAGCAATAAAAGCAAAAAGCATAATTACTTTAAGTTCTATGTTAAATGGATTTTTAATAAAATTTTTTAAAGGATCCTTTAATTAATGTGTATACTACCAAATGACTGCATAAAATGCATGTTGATAGTGTGATCACTGGGCCCAATAAAACTTTTTTGATGATAAAAGTGTTATTCCCTGAGTCTGGAACGACTGTTCCTACCTTACTCCAATGATAATCCTTTTTGTCCATCAAATTCCAGCTGAAATCCCAACTCCTGGTGAAACCTTCCTTGATCCCTGGTCTGAATTATTTTCTCCTTTTCCATTGCTGTCACAGCTTGCTGCTCTTACTTAAATTTAGCATTTAAACCATCCTACTTTACAATGGGATTAGTTGCATATGCATCCTATTCCTCTACTAGACTAAGCTCCTGGAAGACGGCCCTAGTCTTCATAGCAGGCTTCAAATCCTTGCCCTATTTAACATGCTTGCATATGGTAAGCATGCAAATATCTGATCAAAGAATTAACAATTATTATTACTGTTATTTCAGCTTCCTCCAAATCAATGAAATAAAAGACCAGAAGTCTAATTCTGATTCAAATATTTTTCAAATTTAAATTCTTGAATTTTTAACTTCTATAGTCTCTGCCGAATAGCTAGCTAATGACAGAAATAACTTTATGATATTTTTTGTGTGTGTGAGGAAGACCGGCTCTGAGCTAACATCTATTGCCAATCCTCCTCCTTTTTCTCCCCAAAGCCCCAGTAGATAGTTCTCCCTTATAGTTGCACATCCTTCTAGTTGCTGTATGTGGGACGCTGCCTCAACATAGCCGGACAAGCGGCGAGTTGGTGCGCGCCCGGGATCCGAACCCGGGTGCCAGTAGCGGAGCGCGCGCACTTAACCGCTAAGCCACCGGGCTGGCCCAACTTTACCATATTTTTAAAGAAACATATGGCTAACAAAACATGTATTTCACCCACCTTAAGATGTTCTCTCGGGTTATCATGAACGGCAGCAGGAAAATAAACCACCTCTTGTACTTCATCACAGGGTCTATCTGAATTTTTTCCAAAAATAATCCTGTTATCAACTGTTGCTGGAGGTAATGCCACGAAAGTGTCACAGGAACAAGGTTCCATTTTTTTTAAACTAAAAATCATATAGAAGTTTCAAAATAAAAAGAGAAAAACATTTTTAAGTATATACAAAACAGAGTTTTACTGGATGAACAAGGGATATTATTGCCATATATAATAAGGGTGTTCTTAAAGTTTTAAACTTCATATACTGTAGTACAAAACTCAACAAGAAAATGACTTGGAAATGAATCTTGTACTACAATAATCAATAAGAAAATGGCAATAACAAGTATCTTCATCTAGTCCATAGGTCAAATTTACCCTCTACGATATTTTTCTACTGAAGTCTTCCCTGAAGACTACCTAGCCCTACCCTTGTAAAGACCATATTCTACTATATTTGTGTACATATATGAATCTCCTCACTGGACAGTGAGATCCTTGGGGGTTGGGAGTATGTCTTATTAATCTTTGTATTCTCATCACTGGAACTTATCTTATGGAAAAGTCCCAGAATTATGTATTCAGTATTTCCTCAAAAGAAGGAAGAAGCAGTCTCCTTTGAGCTAGAGAAGAATACACACTGACACTGGTAAGAGTGAAATTTTGAAACAGACTCACTGAATCAGACAAATACAAAAAGATGTCAGTAAAATTTCAAATTGTTGATATTTCCAGGAGGAAGTTTACATACATAACTTGTAAATGCTGATTGCATTTTTTTTTCTTAGTGAGGAAGATTGGCTCTGAGCTAACATCTGTGTCCATCCTCCTCCATTTTGTATATGGGACATTGCCACAGCATGGCTTGATGAGCGGTGTGTAGGTCAGCGCCTGGGATCCGAACCCCAGAACCTCAGGCCTCCGAAGAGGAGCACGCGAACATAACCACTACTCCACCAGGCTGGCCCCATTGCAGAATTTAATATCTAGATTATGTCTTCGTTTGTAATTTGTAAAATCTTAAATCCTCAATTTTAGTAAAACACTTGTCTTGAACTTTTATTTTTCTTCCAGAATGGACACATTGTTTTATAGAGTTTCCTTCTTTCCTTTATTTTATAATGCCCAGCCAGACCTTAGGGCTTTACACAGGCAGATACCAGCAATTTAAAAACAAAATTCAAATCTAATAAATGTCTTATTAAAAAGAAAACAAAATGACTCAAGAAACAATTTCAGCCTGAAACTAAAAGTTTTTCTCTTTTCCTCAATGACAGAGAGAGGTCACAATTGCTTCTGTTCTTTTCTGTCTCTATTTCCACCTTTATATCCCGGCTTGCCTTCTATTTGTGTTCCGAAGTTAGTTCCACCACTGTATAACCGCGGCAGGCTATTTAATCTCTCTCTATGCCTCCTGCCTATCAGTAAATATCTCATGGGGCTGTTATGAGAATTTAATAAGATAATGTGTAAAGCGTTTTGCACAGTGCATGGAATACAGCAGACACTCTAATGAAAGCTGTTATTATTTGGCAGAAAGTAAATTTCTCACAAAAGGCTTATTGACATCACGCCCCCCCATCCCCACCCCTGCGAGAGGACTTGGTTGGTGGATCCTCTACTGCAGTAGCAGCCACGTCCACGCAAAACCTTGAGTCTCAAGGGCCATCAAGCCGCACTAGGTGATCTGAGCTGTCTAACTGGGATCGTAGGCGAAGATCAGGAAACATACCGCCTAGTTAGGAAGGCACCTAGGCCATTTAGGAGGGGAAGCCTTGAGAGCCTTTACTAACGCCTAGTGCGTACTCATCAACAAATGTTTATGGAACATCCTTCTGCGCCAGGAACCGTACAGCTGGTAACAAAATAGAGTCCCCACTCTTGTGTAGTTGACATTCTATTTTATATGCCTTACTTCACCAAGCGCTTTCAGAAATATATCGTTTGATCCTCACATACGTACTACAGTTAGGGCGAGAATTACTCTTTTCAAAACACAGATGAGAAAATCGGTGCAGAAACGTTTATAACTCGAGTTAGCGTTCACAGAGACTAAAGGGCTCGAACTTCAAGCACCTCTTACAGAAGAGCCGCCGCCCGGTCCACACTCGGGACCCCAGCCGGCGGCGCTCACACCGCAGCCCGCGCAGCTCTGACCCGGAGCCCCTCCTCGATCTCGCCGCGCCAAGTTCCCGTCTTCCTAGTTCCTGCCTCAGCTATGCACGCCCCTCCCCCGTGCACGCCCCTCACCTGGCCTCCGAGCTACCCAAAGCGCAAGCAGGAAGGGGCGAGGATTGGCAGGCAGAGGCGCCAGTTGCCGGAAGCTGCCACCTTTGACCCCGGAAGTCCCCGCTACCACTGGAGGCGCAGTTCCGGTTAGGCGGCAGAGTTTGTTTACGTTCCTGACGGGTCCATCTGCTGCCTTGCTCAGCTCAGGCGCCGAGATGGGGAAATCTTTTGCCAATTTCATGTGCAAAAAGGACTTTCATCCTGCCTCCAAATCCAATATCAAAAAAGTGAGTAATGGGAGCCGAGGAGGGTTCTGGCTTTTGGCGCCTGGGTTCCCAGGGGCTGCTGGAGGTGAGAGTGGTGGTGACTCTGAGATCCCTGGGACAGTCGCCTCTTTTCCAGGCCTGAAGCCCTGGTGTTCTCGTCCCTTCTTCTCCGCTGAGAAACTCGCTGTCAAAGCTGGCACTCCACGTTTATTCTGCATCAGCGAGGAGACTGTCAGCCCTCGTCGGCTCTGTGGGTTCTGTCAGCTAGAATGGAAATCTGTAAGATAGGAAGACCGATAATAGGGTTCCTCATCACTTTTCTCAACAGATTCTGGCTTTGCTTTTTCTGATCCCGGGGATCACGGCTTCTGAACTCTGCTATCCTGTACAAAGATGACTCCCTATTTATTTAAGATCTTAAAAGGGAAATAAATTCACTCCTTAATTCTTCTTTTTATCCACCTAATGTAGTATGTCTCATGACCTCGTCCAAGTTTAGCTTTTTAAATAATCACTTACAAGTTTACTAGGTGCGGTACAGAAAAACCTTGCTGAATATTATTTTAGAAAACAGAATGGAAGTAGGAAGAGTCTGAGCTTTAGAATCAGACCTGGATTCTAGTTATTCTAGCACAGTCACTTTTAGCCCTGAGACCTTGCACAAAATAGTTAATATCCCTGATCCTCAATCTCCTAATCTATAAATTAAGAATGATCAATATCAGTTGCTTTGACTTGTGAGGTTGTTATGAGGACTAAATTTTAAGATGGTATGTTTAAAGAATTTGAAACAAAGTACCACCTAGCACTGTGCCCACCGTGTGGAGTGCTCAATAAAATGTTAATTGCCCCTACACACGTGCTTATTCTTAGCCTGCTCCTAAAATACAGGTGTTACCTGGAGTTTCATCCTTGGCCTACATCTTGCTTACTCTATATGCTTTCCTAAGCAATCACATTCAATTTCATGGTTTTAACGATCCCCTCATTACTCATGACTCCCAAATCTACAGTCCCAGGTGTTTCCCCTAGCTCAAGGCATCTCAAGACAATTATATACTAGACAATTTCATCTTAATATCCTACAGGCATCTCAAACTCAACATATCTGAAGTGGAACTTATATTTTATCCTAAATCTACTCTTTTTATACTTCCTATCTCATGTGAGTAGGAAATATAGATAGTAACACAATCCTTCATCCAGTCACCTAAGCCAGAAATTCAAGACTCACCCCTTTCCTATCACCCCTTTATCTAGTCACTGATAAATTCTATTGGTCTTACCTCCCAAATATCTCTTTTTTTTTTTTTTTTTTGGGAAGTCCGGTCTTAGCTTACCTCTATTGCCAATCCTCCTCCTTTTTCCCCCCCCCCCCAAAGCCCCAGTAGATAATTGTATGTCATAGTTGCACATCCTTCTAGTTGCTGTATGTGGGACGCGGCCTCAGCATGGCCAGAGAAGCGGTGTGTTGGTGTCCGCCTGGGATCCGAACCTGGGCCGCCAGTAGCGGAGCGTGCGCACTTAATCACTAAGCCACGGGGCCGGCCCCCCAAATATCTCTTGAATCCATCTTTCCTCTTTGTCACTACTGCCTGTGTCTTAGCTTACACCTTCATCATCTTTCGCCTAGACCATTACATTTCCTAACTGATTTTTCTGTCTCTAGTCTTGACCTTTCTCAAAACCATTCTCCTAGCCATCAGAATAATATTATTTTTTTATTTAGCAGCTTTATTTGGATATAATTCACATACCATAAATCAACCATTTGAAGTGTATAATTCAATGGTTTTTAGTACATTCACAGATTTGTGGAATTATCACCACAATTTTAGAACATTTTCATCACCCCTTAGAAAAACCATATCTGTTAGCAGTCACCTCTCCCCCCCCAACCATGCCCCCTTCCCGATAACCGCTACCTCCCCTCCCCCAGCCCTAGGCAACCACTAATCTGCTTTCTGTTTCTGTAGATTTGCCTATTCTGGACATTTCATATAAATGGAATTATGCAACATGTGTTCTTTTGTGACTGGCTTCTTTCACTTAGTGTACTGTTTTCCAAGTTCCTTCAGGTTGTAGACTGTATCAGTACATCATTCCTTTTTATTGCAAAATAATTACATTGTATGGATATAGCACATTTATTTATCCATTCATCAGTTGATGAGTATTGGGGTTGTTTCCATAGAGTAGTCTTTTTAAAGTACAAATCTGATCTCTTCCAGCTCACTATTAAAATACTACAGGATTGGGGCTGGCCTGGTGGCGTAGCGGTTAAGTGTGCAGGCTCAGCTTGGGCGGCCCAGGGTTCGAAGGTTTGGATCCCCGGGGGCGCACCGATGCACTGCTTGTCAAGCCATGCTGTGGCAGCATCCCATATAAAGTAGAGGAAGATGGGCACAGATGGGCCAGTCTTCCTCAGGAAAAAGAGGAGCATTGGCATCGGATGTTAGCTCAGGGCTAATCTTCCTCACACACACACACACACAAAAATACTGCAGGATTAAGTCCAAGTAATCTGGCTCCAGTTTTTCATTCTTCATCCTCTACTGCTATTCTCCTACCTCAGATTTAATATTCCAGTAATATCAAACTACTTACTTTCTCTTTTATACCTTTGGGCCTTTGCCTGCATTGTTCCCTCTGCCAGTAATATCTTGCTCTGTGTTTTCCTTGGCAGAGTTTTGATCCTCTTCAAAACTCGGCCCAGGGCCGGCCCTGTGGCTTAGCGGTTAAGTGTGCGTGCTCCGCTGCTGGCGGCCCGGGTTTGGATCCCAGGAGCGCACCGACACACCGCTTCTCTGGCCATGCTGAGGCCGCGTCCCACATACAGCAACTAGAAGGATGTGGAACTGCGACATACAACTATCTACTGGGGCTTTGGGGGGAAAATAAATAAATAAAATCTTTAAAAAAATAACAAAAAACTCTGCTTAATGTTTGTGAAGTTACTTGTGTACAGGGTTATTTGTGGCAGAGAGTTTGTGATAGAGAAGACTGGAAATTTCTTAAATGCCCGTCAGTACTGTAGGAGATTGGTTAAATAAATGATAGATATAGCCCCACAATAGAATGACATTCACCCCCCTGCCCTCAAAAAAACCAGAAAGCTTTTTGTTTACTGATCTGGGAATGATCTCCATGATATAGAATTTTATTTTGTATGTAGCGTGTGTGTGCCTGCATGCATTATGTGTTACCATTTATGAAAAGTGAGAAAAGAATGTGTGTGTATGTGTGTTTTATATATATATTTTATGTGTATGTGCATTAGAACATCTTTGGAAGGATATATAAGAAATGGATAACATTGACTGCTTGTGAATATAGTTTCTTAATTTAAAAAAAACGTAACTTTAAAAACCAAAACCTGGGGCCGGCCCCGTGGCTTAGTGGTTAAGTGCGCGCACTCCGCTGCTGGTGGCCTGGGTTCGGATCCCGGGCGCGCACCGACGTACTGCTTCTTGGGCCATGCTGAGGCCGCGTCCCACATACAGCAACTAGAAGGATGTGCAGCGATGACATACAACTATCTACTGGGGCTTTGGGGGGAAAAAGATAAATAAAATTAAAAAATAAATAAATAAAAACCAAAACCTGTCATAAAGCATTCTGTTATACCAGCCTTCCTCCACGCCCCCCTAAAGTTAATCACTGTCTTATTCTATTTCTTCATCTTGTATGTATTTCTACTATCCAAATATCAAACTTTATTGTTATGGTTTATTTACACAATTAGTATCTTTTCTTTTTTTGTTATGAGATAGTTCAAACATACAGAAAAGTCGGTATGATTTTCTATTAGCAGATTCTGAGCATTTTGAAGGCAAGAATATATTTTATTACTTCTTATTCCAGTCCATGATAACTACTCAATATGTATTTAAACTCTTGAGCAATCGAGACTAGTAAAATAATTGTAAAATCTAAAGCTTTAATTAAATAGTAGTTATTCTGTTAGAAGGACTATGTTGTTTATTAGAATGTTATTATTAGTATGTTATTCTGCCAGGCAATGACACCTTACATTTCTCTGTTGCATTGTTTGCGTTTTGAGCTACAGTGAAAATTCCAAACATTTCCCTTTTACTGCCTATCCCAAGTGTAGATTTTTCTTCTACTATAACATTATAAATATGAAGTCAGTAGAAGAAACTTTCAGGAATTTATACCAAAAGAAATTTCTGCTTTTGCTCTTTTCTCCATATTAATATTTCTTGTCTGCATCTCAAACTGTGTCCCGACAGAACCTTCCTGTGTCAGCATTACTAACATACTAATTACCCCTGTTTGTTTCTAAAATTGAATAATGGCAATCTTGTCCCACACCCTCCTCCCCACACTTATCTGCTCCCACCCACAGTTTATAATTACATATAATTTTCTCCACGTGAGTATTTGTCCTCAAATTTACCTTCTTAAAACTTGGCATGTTTGAAAAGAAAGTTTTGACTTGCTGTATATGTTAAATGGCTGTCAAACATTTTGTCCTTTATTCTAAAAGTGGTAGGGAGGCATTGGTACCTTTTAAACCTGGAAGTAACATGATTAAATATCCTTGCATAAGTTATGTGGGTTTTTACCTTCACCACTTTTATGATTTTGAGAATTTCACATAGGGACACATTCAGCTTGTGGTCTTGGTGTCCCTGAGCGACTCCAGGACATCTGATGTACTTCTGTCTTATCTCTTGATTTCTTTTCTCATCTCTTCCTTTTTTCTCCAACTACCTTTCATTTCCTTTCCTTCTTTTCTCCTCCCTGTCCTCTATTTCTCCTCTTTTAG